ATAAGTATTAAGTAGTTTGGAAATTCAGAATAAATATTGAAATGCTTACCAAATCGGGAATAATTAGCGATGAGATTAGATTTAATAGAGAAGATATCAACATAAGTAACACTTGAATCAGGGAATTGGGCTTGAAATTTGTTGGACAGAGCATGTAGTTGAAGATTGAAGAGTTTGGCTGCTTGGTTATGGGAGCTAACACAACCAAACTCATCAAGCTTTGTTGAATCTGTCCCAAACTTGGCAATATTTTGAGCCAAACATCCTAAAGGCCCTGTGTTGTGTATCCAAAAGTTTCTGCCTCCTTCCTCATAAAGCCTCTGCCAAATTAATTTACTCTGATTGCATGAGACCGGTCTGGTTTATTTCCCGTTGCGAAAACAAAAGAGAGAAGCAGTGATTTACCTTGAGTCCAGCTTCAAAAGTTTCAAGAATGGAAGGAATAGAAGCAAGAACTTGGTCAAGAGTCTTGGAGTAGAAGGCACCAGCTATATCATTTTGGCCTATGTCAATCATGTATAGTCCTTTTGAATAATAATCAAGTGGTGGTAAGTACTTTTCATATTTCCTTCCTGAAAATCATCATCAAAGAAATCTTTGCTTCAATTTTACTTCATATAATATTATACGCAATTACATCTCACCAACAAATTTCGAAATTAGCCCCACCTGTTTTAGAAAGTAGTTCAAGGGACCTAGATTTGAACCGGATGAATTGAGAGATTTGAAGATCAAAAGAGAAAGGAGAGACCGAGGTCGGGTTTGCGGGAAGAATGGTGGCTCCTGCTGCTGCAAAGTTACACCCTTTTTTGAAATTTGGTAGACCTAATGAATCCAAATAAGGATTTAAAAATGGCAGGTCCATTTCATCCACTGCACAAAACAAAACATATATCAAAAACAATTGCTTTGAAGTGAAGGAACCATTTCAATGAAGAACAACATGAGTTTGTATACATAGAAAATCTACAATAAGACGGCCATCGCAATATCTTCCTGAAGGAAGGTTGAAGTAAGTCTGGCCATAGGGAGGATTAACATTTTCAATCCCTGAGGAGATGAGATTGCCCGTGTCGGAATTCGAGTCTCCAAAGTTGATGATTGCCGGATATTTTAGGATTATGGATAAAGATGAGGGAAAGAACAAGGAGATTAATATGAAGAGAACAATGGAGAGATTGTTTACAATTGGAGCCATTGAGTTGGAAACAAACAATAGAGCCACTCTCAGATTGTTTATTTACTCGCTAAAATGAGTATCAAACTGAAAAAGCAAAATATAAAGTGTGTACAACCACCATGACAAACTTTCATAAAATATTTAATCTAAAAAATGGTTTATATATATATATATATATATATATATATATATATATATATATATTTGATTATATATGTATCAAATGGAGACAACTCTGAGATTGTATTTTTGGTCACTGAGATAAACTTAATAAAATAATCTTAATTTATAAATATATAGTACAAATTTTATTAGAATACTATTAAATCAGTATATATATAACTAGCTTAATACCACATAGCACATACCTATCAAATAATTTACTGTAAGATTGCAATTCTACAATATAAGAATGCATTTAATAGAACCATATAAACAAACTAAGTAATCTGATTAATTTCTTTTATTTTTATAAACATGTATACAAACTAAGTAATCGTATTAATAATTTGTTTCTCGATTACGAATACTTTTGTAATGGTTTGTACTAATAAATCGCATTTTTTGTATATTTAGAACACGAATTTTAAATTGAACGGAGATATATCAGACTCAAAAATGTATGAAATAAGGTTGCTTCGAGAATGCTCCGAGGTTGCTTCGTGAGGAATATTTTATCGAGATAAAATGTTTTTTTTTATAGGGATGATCAGTTTGGTACCGAACAAAGAAAATTAGACACGGTCATTTTGGAAATCCGTCGGTGTCCTTGCGTTTTCAAAACTTTTTGGCTAATGAGAGTTTGATTTCGTTTTTGTTTTCATGTTATCGTGCTGGGGATTGCAATTTTTATGATAAATATCATATAAAGTTTTACCAAAAAAAAAAAAAATATTATAATTTAAACAAATATATATATCAAACATGCTAATTATAAACCAATAACAAAAAATACCAAACAGAAAGAGAAATACTTTTTGTGTTTATTATTTGCAAATGTTTTTAGTGAAGAATTAGATATTATCTTTGAACAAACAAAAAATTGATTTGAAATAATCTAGGATATATATGTTCTATTCTATCTCGCTTTCAGTATTTAGTAACTCAACATGCATGTATTTATTGATTATAAAAGCAAGTGTTTCAACAGATTGTAGATGAATAAAATAGTTAATGGACATTATTAGTGTAAGAAGAGACAGTACGTAAAAAATGTGGAAGATTATTATAAAGGGAGCATATAAATTGAAAAAAAAAAAACTTACTTAGAAAATCTATAACAAGACGTCCATCGCAGAATCTTTGGGATGAAGTTTTGAAGGAATTTTGTCCATTCGGAAGGTCAAGACGAATGCCAAGGCCAGCAACGAGATCACCGGTATCGGAATTGGAATCACCAAAATTAAAAGCAGACAAATAATCGAAATCAATGGAGTTTGAATTATATATGTACATGATAAAAAATAGGATGACATAGAAGAGTTTCATCATAGTTATATTCATGATCTCTCTATTTGTTGTTTTAAATTGGTTTTTGAGATTTATAGTTTCTATTTTTCGATGTCTTTTTAAATGTGTTGATGCTTTGAATTGTGGAAAGAGGAAAACAATACTATACAAGCAAGATTGTTGCTTTGAATCTCGCTTGCAAGTCTTACTATATCTGTCTATATATATTAATATGATGACTCACACGAACTCATTTGATTGTTAAGTAAATTAGCAAAGTTTTCTTATAATGATTTCTTACCCTTATACATTAACCTTTTATTTCCAAGCTATGGATGATTTGCTTGAGTGAGATATGTTTTCTTGATAAATGTACATATGCAAAATCTTGAAAGCATAGGAAAAGACAAAGTCTATCTTCCGCTAAAGGTATACGCTCTATTATTATTAAGGCTATCAATTAGGAGGGAATGATAGAATGTTACGATGCTTATGATTTCCATGTGATTGGGTTGTGGAATAGGAATTGTAATAAAAGAAAAAGTGGAAATTTGAAAGAAAAGAGCACTATGAAAATAAAAGCAACATGGTTCTAAGTTGATAAATATATTTAATTTTTTTTAAAAAGAAAAAAAAAGAAAGAGGAAGAAGAGAAACAATAAGAACGAAGGAGCAGTGAAAAAGAAGGAAGCCTTATTAACAAATGAATTTTCTAGGGGTTTGTGAATAGAAAATAAATGGTTTGGTAATTAATAATTATACATTTATATTCTTTATGTTTTACAAAGAATGTCATTCTACATTTTAATATGATTTTTACACTAAGTTTCCTGATTTATCCTTAACCCAAAGCTACTTTTCATTGAATTTAAATTATTAATTACTTATTAAAATATGGGGTATACATGTATAATTCAAAGCTTTCTTAATTTATGTGGAATATGTCAAAATAACATGTAAAACGGAGGGAGTAATTATCTTGCTAAATGCGAATGAGTGCATTTGGATTTATGGGAAAGTTGATATTTTGGTTTTTACACCTTTTCTAGTGTTTGTTTTCATTTATTTGTATTCTCTTTTAAATCTTATTTCAACTGTTAAACGAGTCTTTCAAAGTGTTTAATAATACTTGAAACTACAACCGTTCGCTTCCGTAAATTTCTTTAGCCATTCGATTAGTTGTGTCAGACTATTTTTCCGGGCAACTAACAAAACTAGTGTTCATTTGAATGAAAAACGAGTGTCTAAAGTTGGTTACTTGAAAAGCACAATTTGGACAAATGGGAAAAGTTTCACATGGGAAACATGGTGAAATCTTCTAATATATAAGGGAGGATGGTTGTGTCTACGCTCAAAGCCTTGAGACCAAAGTATGTTGTAAAGGAGAGAAGCATATCCATACAAAATCGGACTAGGCTCAGCTTTGAGTTTAATTTGGATAAAGGGGCTTGAGGTTTAATAGCTTATCTTTTTTAAGTCCATATTTGTTTTGTAATTTGTGGATGATTTGGTCAACACAACAAACAAATATTTCTTCCTTTCAACATTGAAACCAATGGATTAATGGCCATAAATCTGGCATTGAATCCACGTCTCCATGAATACTCAATTTAACAGATTGGTTTTGCTTTTGCAAATAAAAGGTAGAAGAAAATAGTTTCTTTTTACACACTTAAAATCTCATTCTCATAGACAAGAAAAAAAAAATCTTATTCATGTCTCTTTTTTTCTGTTTTTTGTGAGTCTTGAGAGTACACACATAACTAACGTTCATTAGGTTTTTGAGTTTTGAGTGTGTAAATTAGAAGATGGTGCGGTTGTATTTTGGGATTCATATTTCATCAAACCGTCACACTATAGGCAATTACAGAATTAAGGAACGAGTGTCTCGTCTCCGCACAAACTATTTTTTGTTTATCAAATATTAGTATCGATTGTTGATTTTAATTCTAGTTTTTTTTATCATCTATTGCAATTATTCAGTTTTGCCACATGTATGGTCTTACGATCAATTGCAACATCACCTTGATCTAAGACATGCACTGTTATTTATTTAAACATAATTTTTATAATTTTGTACTGAATTTATTTATTCTGACATAAAAACATACAATTCCAAAAGAGTTAAGAAGATATATAAAGGTGGTTTCTTCGGATTCATGGCCCATTGAAAAACATAGATTCCTGGTTTTGTAATGTTTATTACAAACTATTTTCATCGGACCTCACGGTGACAATTATTGGTGAGACAGATTAGATGGGTCGAGAATGACTTTACTCGATTTATGTTTAAAATGTGCCTACACACAACTATATTTTTAAATAAAGTTTGATTTCTACGAATATTAACCAAATCCAACAACTAATTATCTCCAGCTGTTACCATTTACTTTTGTCAACAACTTCAATAAAAATCACCGTCCATTTTAACTATAATGTATGGAAAAGTGCAATGGACCGAAACATATAAATGGTACACAATATTAAAATTAACTACTGACAGACAAATTAAGAAATTTAAATTCAATTATATAAATTCGTAACAAAATATCCCAAACCGGATCACACTAAGTCACTAACATTGACTCCGCCAAACCGGTCTACCTTAGGGTTACTGTTGACCATCATCATGAATACGGAGGATTTCATGCACTGCGGTAGAAATATCAGCCACTGAGTTAAGCTTACAATAATCTTCCATCTGCATTGATTTTTTTTTTTTTTAATATAAAAAAGTTAGATTGTTGACAAAGAAAATAAATTAAACTCAAAGTACATTTTGTTAAATTTTCTAGATACCTCTTTCTATAATTTATTTTCTATAATTACCACCATATTATAAGATTCAAAACATGACAATTTGTATTAATATATTTTTGGGTTTTACTAAAAAGTTGTTTTAATGTTTATAACATAACGAAATTGGTATTGTTTAAAGTGCTTTTTACATCTCATCGCTGTCGGAGTCTATAAATAGTAAGTAACTTTGGCGACGTGTGTTTGTCTATGCCTAAAATGATTATTCTTCCAATATGGTTTGTTCTCATATGCATATAACATTTGAATAAATTGATTTTGGTTATGTCTTATTCCCACAATAAATATAGTTCATTGTTTAGCCCTTAATGCTATATATACTTCATTCATATGGTATTATATTTGTAAATTTATTACTTCGGTCTGAATTTTTTACAAGGAAAAAAAGAATAGTCAGTTACTTTTAGTTGTTAGGACTGATCACATAATAGTAGATAAATTATTTTGTTGATTTGTAAGAGATGAAGTTTTATGATAAAGAATTATAATACAAATATGTAACAATAAATAGTTGGAAAGCTAAAAGCTTTAAGGTAAATAGTTTTTAGCACAAAAAAACATAGACCACCAAAAACATGTTTAAGAATACGAGTGAAACAACATAGATAATTGAAATAGTTTGGGTGAAGATATTATTAATTATCGTATTTAATTTTGGTATTAGTGAATAAATTAACAAAACTTCTATTGACTATAAGAATTGCATGTGAATGATATATGTAGGTATATCTGTTTTTTTGCCAGAAAGATCCAGAATTGACATGCTAATTATCCACATAATCAAACCTATATTTGAAACTGAGGATTATTATAATGATCTATTAGAGATAATCACATTTTAAAACTAATACGACAATAGGCGACAAGAGAAAAACAATTAGGTTAAGGCTATGCCTAGCATTTGATTTACAATTAACTTACACAGAGATCTATAATTTTTTGGGTTTGGGTATAAATCTATTTTTGTTTTGGTTACAGCTATTTTTAGAATATTCTTTACTATAACATTGTACAAATCAGGGTAAATATATAGTGATTTTGGGATTAAACAGAAACGTACCTTAGTGGAGAAACAGTAGAGGATAAAGTCAGAAACAGTGGAGACATTAAGGTGAAGAATGATAAACCCTAAGCTTTGTAATCCAGAGACCAAGTTGAGAAGAATCTTTGGTCTCCTTCTTGATCTGATCTTGAGACTTGCGTGGCACTCGACAAGGTTTACTTCAATATCAGCCAATGCATTCTCGAGAACCACGTTTTCACTGACCGCAGAGGAACCCATTGAGATCTGTGGAAGCTTGAAAGCGTCGGAGAAAGGTGTAGCGGATGAGATATCCCGGCGTCGGGAAGCTTGGTCCCTATTGGCGTTAAGGAGGTGAAGACGGTGTTCTAGTTCTCTGATGAAGTTTATGGAACCTCCTACTATTGATGCTTGGTCACACTAAAACCATGAAAAAAATAAAAAAAATAAACACTAAACTCATATTATATATGAAGTCTTACAATTTTTGTAATATGATGTAAATGAAATATAGTTGTCTCACAATTAGGATTAATTCACTACAACATTTTATTTTTTTAAAGTATTCACTACAACTTTTGTAATGCGTATACTACTTATGATACCTAGCCGTCTTGGGATATCAAAAAGAAAGAAAACATTATCGATGTCACAAAACACTTTGTTGAACGTAACTTTTAGTATTCAGTACTATGATTATAATTTTCAATTTATATAAAGCAAGTTTTTCACTAGGTATTAATTTCTTAAAATTTCGAAAGATGTAAATTAGTTCTGTATGTTTACTTATAAAGTTAATAAAAACATTGAACGTGAAAATATGATTCTTTCTATTAGTCTATATAAAAAATACATAGATGCACTAGATAGTTATGATTGTAGATTTATAAGAATACCCTTTGGACGTATGAGTCAGGCATGAGAGAGCGGAGAACAGAAAGATACTCATTCATCAGTTTTCTCCGGTTACGCTCCACTGCAATGTGAGTCATACGTTGATTAGTGATTTCTTCTTTGTTTTTCTTCACCCTTGTTCTGCGTCTTGTTGCCTTCTTCTTCCTCGTAGTGTTTGTCTCACTATCCCGTTGGTAACTCATATCGCAGTTCGGGCTACCAGAGGAGTTTCGGTTAGCCGTAATATTTGCTTCACTAATAGCAATTTCAGGAAGAGGTTGATGAAGGAATGTAGTAGTATTCTCATAGTAGTCTTCTTGAAGAAAAGTAGAGTTGTAGTTTTCGGTTTGGCTATCGAGAAAACCAAGAGAGGCTTGGAGATCATAGAAGTGTGGTTCATCTTCTGTGTAAATGTTGGAGTAAGCTTCTTTGCCATTATAGCTAAAGATGTTGTCGTGTTGCAAAAACACACCCTCGAGAGCCATTTGCCTTCTTCTTTTTATAAATTTTTGGTAATAATCATTGAGGATTTTATAATGAAAGTGTGAAAGAAATGATAAGTGTGAGATGATTGATATACTCAACGCGGTATTAATTTATAGATGTAACGAGTTCTACAGGTTTGTTGCACGTGAAAAGCATAGTTTGGGAGTTTGCTCCAAGGGAGATGTATTTCTCGTTTCAGGTTGTTGGACTACTAATTAATAGGGTAAATAGCTATAAGCTAATAATGGGCAACAGGTGGGGAATTAAGTTTGTATGATTCTTACACTCTTGTTTTGTTTCGGATGATTTGGTGGACTTGAGTGGTCTACTATCTCGGCTGGTTCAATAACATATGCGCGATCGTCCCTTTATGCAATTGTCTTATTGTGAGGTAATGAGACAATGCTTGGCGATTCTGTGTTTTTCTTTTCATATTCTATGTTCTTCTTTATATATCTAAACTATGTGAAAAAGTAACCAATCAAAATATTAATTGATTGTTCCAAAAATAATCGTTGGAGAATGAAAATTAATTCGACAGATAAAAAATCAACCTTATTGATAAATCAATATAAAATTATATAAGTTTACCAAAAATAAAATAAATTGATAGTTCAATGTCCTCAAATCAATATTAACTAGAGATATAGTTAGTTTAAACATATTCTTAAACTTATAGGCCCAGAATTTATATGTATATATTTTAATAAAATTTGAAATAGGCCTCCAGTTTTTTTTTTTTTTTTTTTTTTTGTCATCCGAAACTACTTAGACCATCTTCATTGGTAGTATCTCACCAAGCAACTCTCATTAAAATTATATAAAAAGTATTGAAATAATATTATTTTAATCAATTTTATTGAGAAACGTTTCTCCATGAGAAAATCTTTCTTTCTTCCACATGTCACTTTTTTATTAGTTTAGTTTTCTTTGTAACAATCAAATAATCTATAGTTTATAACATTAACTAAACACTTTATTTGTTTGTTATTTTTTAATTTAATTTTTTAAAAAATTAATTAAAATAAAATTATCTATACGTCAAGCTCCATTATGTATAACTTTAAATTATATAATAATATTATTTTAAATTGGTGTTAGTTAAGCTTAATACATAATATTAAATTAATATTGTTTTAATTAATACAATAGTATTATATTATAAAATAAAATTTAAAAATTAAAATTTATATTCTGCAATAATTTTTAGATTAATATATAATTGTGATTTCAGATATATGTATTTAAAATTTAATCATCAAAAATATCTCATGAAATAATGCAAAAGTTTGGCGCATCATCAAGTGAAGAGTAAAACCAAGTTAACTATATTATCTATTATGGTTTTGTATGTTTTTAATTAAATTTTAATTTATGTTATCATGGTTTTATATGTAATTTTATGTTTAATGTATATATCTTTATTATGGTTTTGTATGTAATTTAAAGTTCAATTTATGTTTAATTGTGGTTTTAAAAATAATAAACTCTTTATTATATTATTTATCATTAATAGTACTATTAATTGTTGCCTTTAAAATTATTAATATTTCATTATATTATTTACTTCTATAAATAAATATCTTATATATTAAACGAGAAGTCGAAAGTGCTCACGTTCGCTCTCAGAATTTGAAAGTACATTTTTGCCCCCTCTTAATGAAATTGCCTAATGTATTTCTTTTAATATTTTCTTTCCGTTTTTAATTCAATAATTTCCAAAAATTAATTAAATTCCGTCTAAAATATCAAATGGGCTTGCGATTCAATTATCAAAAACAAAAGTCCGTCTAAAATATACCGCCTTATGTGAAACCCTAAAACCATCTGTTGTAATCTCCTATAAATATTAGATAACAATTATCGAAACCCTAACAAAATAGGTTTCATAATTGTCGGCTGCAAGCTCCATATATAATGGCGATGGCACCGCGGCGGAGATGATCTTAATGATAATAGTTTAGGTTCAGGATGGATAGGACATCTGATTCACTACGTTTAGGTTAAAAGAGAAAAATATCTCCGCCACCATCGCCAAAGAAAATAAAGATTCTTCTAACACAATTAGCGGCAGTAATAGATGTCTATGTACGTTTGTCATCGAAGACTTTTCCAGTACGTAGTTTGACATGGCGATTGTCGATAAAGAAGAACCATCCCTAACGATGGTATCAAACTTTCTCCGGTTTTTTGGTTCATGTTGGTATAGTTCTGTCCGTCATACAGAGGAAAACTTGGTTTTGTCTCTGAAATTCAGCAAGAACAGAAACGAGATCAGATTTAAGGATATGAGAAACGTGAGAATCAATGAATCGATCAAGTCGGACTAAGTTGGTTTGGAGACGCTTGAGCTCTTTGGCGGCGATTAAACCTTCTTTGCTCATTTCTTTCTTCGGTCTCCATATCGATAGGCTTGGGCTTAAAGCAGGTCTTGATTGGTACGTATGAGTCGAATCAACACTAATTTATCTGTTTCTTGAACCAATTTGGCTAAGAAGATAATTAACGAAGCTTTGATGAATCAAATAGTAGTGTCTTCGAAGGTACACATATTTATCTCAAGATATTGGTTTGCACTTATAATAAAGTGGGTTAACTTTTGTTTATAAGTTGTAGAAGAAGGAAGCAACGGGAAACCCAAAAAAAGCTTCTTTGATTTCCTCTTATATTGATTGCTTCTTTCCGTTGGTTTTGTCAATGGACATTAGTTTTTCTGTTTTCTTAGGTTTGTATCGATCTCAAAATGCAGGATTGATAAACCTGAGTGTTCCCGTTTTTAATTAAAAAGGTATATGTTTTTGCAAATATCTTTATTAGTGGAATCGAGACATGTCATGTGATACAGTGATAGTATTAATTAGTTAGATGTATCTTATAATTGCTTAGAGTAAGCTTATGATTTTTTGAGCTTTTAGGTATGTCTTCGGTATGTTATCTTTGATCATGATGATGGCGAATTAAATGAGATTTTCTTTGTCCTAGATTGTGTCTAAACCCTAAAAGTTTTGTTTAATTTCTTTATTTGACTTCAATGCATTTAATGTTCTAATGATTTCTCCAGAAAAATAGTCTCTGATTCTACTTAGCTTCCCATCTGTACTGTTGGTTATAGATTAAAATGCAGCATCAACGGAAATAAATTGTAGGCCCAAGTTCTGCTAGGAACTCATTCAACGTGTATGTCAATTATGGTCAATTCTCTAAGGATTTGAAAAAAGTATTTTTTTACCATCCAATGATGTTGCTGGTATTTAGTTTACAATCTTCCAAACAGACTTAATCATGGCTTTTTTTGAGAATATAATCTGTGAAGCTTGGACACATGATCACATCAACACATGGTTAGAGAGTTCAATCAAGGTGAAATTTATTATTAGTAAACTGCAGTAGAACCAATAATTATTTATAAACGTTATGTCAATCAATCCGATTACTTTGTGAATTTTGTCTAATATGATTTCATTCGAGTTTGTTTCCCATCTTTAAAATAAATAAATATATTCTTTTATATATTATTATTTTCCTTTCATATTGGTTTAATTCTTAAACATTCGGTTTTCTTGGGATAAAATTGGTTTTCCGCTCCAATGACCGTTCTTTTCGAACGGTGATGAAGAATGGCTCTCTAAGTTAACATTGCTATGGTTTCTCCCTAAAAAACTTGCAGTAAATGAGCCGATTCCTCTCATACGAAGATGCCTAGGCGATGATTGTTGTTATTCTCTAGGAAGGTAAATGATATAGAGTGATATGAGACGGAACATTAACTATTGTAATGGAATGGATTTCATCAATCATCGTTGTTTAAAAATATTTGGGTATTTGTTACCTTCGTTATGAGAGTCTGCTTTTGTTAATCAGTTGTGAGTTATAGGTTTAAGTGGTGCCAACATGCAGGTCATGTGATCCTTGAAGCTAACTTGGTGGATATGAGGCCATGAGGGAGCTTTGTAAATAAAGCAATATGCGAGTTGAGGTCAAGGGTCAAGTTAAAGTTTATAGGGTTAGAGTAGAGTGGTGTATGATGCATATGTATTGGAAGTAAGTGACATGACCGAGTTGTAAATACCATGTGATTTGAATTCGTGTTCTATTCCCTCACTGAATATGAAGGGCATTCTTATATGAAGGTCAAAGAGGTAAGGGTAAAACTACCAAGAAGGACATATGAGCAAAATGTGTCACTTCATATTTATGATGGACGCATGCATGGATGGATAAGGTGAAGACTTAAATATTAATGTTTTAAAGTTTTTACCTAGATGGAGCTTTAGGCATGGTTGAGGACACAAACCTAGATGGATCTTTAATAAACTTTAATTCTCTTTAGTTTTTGCTTGATTGGTTTCATTTGCCCAGTTTACGAAGGATTATCCTTCTTTGATGATTCTCTATTTTGTTGTACATTTCCCATTCTCAATATCTATATCAATTTTCTTGTGAAAACTTATTTGGATTAGCCTTTCATTGATTAAAAACTACCTTTAATGAATCGATATAATGCAATTAAGGAGTCTACTTGTGCAAGTATTATAATTTTGTTAGGTTCAGAATTACGGTGATGATAAGTTTGGTTATAAAAAGATAATTTTTGATAGTCACGATTTAGTGAATATTGTAGTTGTCAAGGCTTCAAATGTATACGCCGACAAAAAAAAAAAGGCTTCAAATGTATACAGAGGAGATGAGAGACAAGAGGAAAATCAGTAAGGGCGAAGATTCATAAGGTCAACCACTTTCACAAGAAGACATGTACCAATGTGTTAGTCTTATAGTGAAGAGTGTCCTTATGTTTTTAATTTATTACTCCCTCCGTATTTTAATAATTGTCGTTTTAGAAATTTTATTTTTTTTAATTGGATGTCGTTTTCAAATAGAAAGAACGATGTTTACTACGACAACCAATTTATGACCTTGCGATGGAAGAACAGATCAACCAAAGACGCCACAATCAACCACATGTAACCACCATGATCTCTTTGCTTAGACTTCAAAGTAGATCCAATTGTTCTTTTGCATATATACAAACTCTTATATATTAAAGACTTAAACATTACAACGAGCAACTCCACCAAGGGAGGAAAGGGAAAACAGCGAGAGAGCAGGTTTTGCAACCGCATCTGCCTCCGAATTTTTTACACGAGAAAGAAAAGCAAAAGAGATAGAGAAGAAGGAATCTTTGAGACAAGAAATGTCAGAGAGAATTCCTTTAAGCTCCTTACCGCTATCCTTTGAATTGAGCAGGTTGATGAGGACTTGGGAGTCCGAACAGATCTTCAAAGATCTGAAGCAATTTAGATGAGCGAGGGAAGTGATGTGGAACAGAGTACTTCAGATTGCTAGGGCTTCTGCAACAAGGGCAGAAGAAATGAAGGACCTGGTATTGGAGACTTGAGAAACAACTGTTCCTCTTGGGTCTCTAATGGCCCAACCCATTCCGCAAACTCTGGAGGAAGGGTTCCACCCAGCATCGACAAAGGACATGAGTGCTGATGCTTGCAGCTTGAGATTGAGATGGTTGAGGACACAGACCTTCTGCTTTGGAAAGGAGCTTTGAGCGTCTTGCCAACACCAAGCTTACCTGACTGCCTTTTGGATGATTTGGGTTTATAAGGTAGGGTTAGGGTTTAGTGTTTTACATTTAAACGAAGTTAAATATCGTTTTGGGTTTACTCGGTAGAAGAAACCATGGTCCTATGAGAGGAAGAAGAGACATTGATGGGACTACATGATCCTTGGATGATCCAGCCCATACCAGTAGAGCCTGAAGAAGAGTTCCAGTCGGCATGGACAAAACATGTGAAATTTTTAGAACCGGGAACAGGGGCGTGAGAAACCTTAGGGTTTTTCGCACAAGCCAGTGGCTTGCATTGAGCATTTGCCATCCTCGCGCATCCTTAATTGATTTAATGGCGATTTCCTTCTTCGATAAGCTACGATCCTCAAAACATATTAATTAAGTTCTTTGCCTTCCACAAGTTCCACATAACCCAAGGAAACATGGGAGCAGAGAATAACCCTTCGTCCTCTAAATAAATTTGAGTGTTTTTTTTTTTAACGGGAAAGTTAATCGTACAATTTACTGGTTTTTTTTATTGTTTTAGATGTGATCGGCGAGGTTGTTAATGTTGGAAAATTTGATACTTGGAAGGAGGATCCAAAGGATTGTAAAATGCACGTATACCATCCATCTTGATGAATTTGGGAACTAAAGGATCTTACCATATGATATGTTAGCAACTACTAAATAAATAGATTTGGAAGATTGTTATGATCGATCATGTGTTTGTCTTTGTATTTTGCTTTCTTTTTCCAATAGTTTGAAAACTCTAAATTTGGTATTTTTTTATGTGTTGTAATATATTATTCAGAACTGGATTGATTTTATGTGTAAGTTTGCAAGTAGATATCTTTGTGTTTTCGAATTACGAAAATGCGATACCACTTTTTTTTTAAAAAAAAAAGACGAAAACACCATATAAATATTATAGTATTTTTATTGTCCTATGCTTGACATTGTCCATATACATTACATATTTGTTGTTACATTCGAATTTAATATTTGTAAACATCTTACCTAACTGTAATAATTCTATGGTATTTTAAAATCCGTTACCTTTATTTTTTATAATTAAATTTTTTTATTGATTATGCTTGGTGATAGAATTACCATTATCAATATTTTTGGTTAACCAAAAAAAGACGGTATTATGCATATTTTAAGAACTAATAAAATATGAAAAATATAGAAAGAAGAGAGAAAAATATATGGCGGTGATTATAATACTGAAAAATCTGCTTAACACTGACATTGATAATCTTAAATTATTATATTATAATAGTGTAAATATTTACAAGAAGTTGTAGGCTTTTCATTGAAAAATACTTAGGTTCACTTCTAGGGGTGGACCTTTTATATTCACCACCCCCTCTTTTTTAACTAATCAGAATTTACCATCTTATAAAAATAAATAAAATAAAAAATTAATAAGTTATATATCGGTTTGGGTTTACAATGGAGAGTTAGGGTTTAGATTTTGCATTGGTCAATCGATTTCTAGGCATACACGATTATAGATCCGACTTCCTTATTTAGGCATCGACGTAAGTTTGTTTTATATTATTTTAGTCTTTTTTATCTTTCATATTTTGGTTACTAACTAATTTTTTTTCATGCTAGATAGATTGCACTACGATGAAATACAAACCTCTTGATGACATGTCACGTTTAAATTCTACAAAATATGAATGGAGAATTCGAGTCAAGGCCTTGTGTTTATGGAGACAGAACTTCGGTGGGCTTGGTATGAGTTTAGTGATGATTTCTTTCGATTAATAAAAATAGTGTCCACAATATTTTTGTTTTTTTTTTTGTAAAAGGTTCAAAGGTTAAAACTTCTTTCAGAGGTGGTGTTTATAATAGCTTTGTTTCTAAGATTTCTATTGGTGATTGGTTTCAGTTTGATTATTTTAAGGTTGTGGATCAGTTTGGCTCATACTACTTCAATTTTGTTGATTTTACACGTATTTGGGATGGTGTTCATTGCGATGATATTACTTGGTTGGTAAATTTTCTTTTCTCTATAAACTATTTTTGATATATTTGTTTTAGTTCTTTGTTCTATAAATAAATTTCTGTTTTTTTTTTATGTGAAAATTAATTGTATAATTTTCTGAATGGTTTGTTAGATATAAAATATGAGTACTAAGGTTTGTGATTTTCTAAAAAAATTTCCCTTCACTCGATTATTAAAAGTAGTGTCCACAATGTTTTTGTTTTTTTTTGTAAAAGGTTCAAAGGTTGAAACTTCTTTGAGAGGTGGTATTTATAATCGCTTTTTTTCTAAGATTTCTATTGGTGATTGGTTTCAGTTTGATTATTTTAAGGTTGTAGATCAGTTTGGCTCATGCTACTTCAATTTTGTTGATTTTACACGTCTTTGGGATGGTGTTCATTGCGATGATATTACTTGGTTGGTAAGTTTTCTTTTCTCTATAAACTATTTTTGATATATATGTTTTAGTTCTTTGTTCTATAAAAAAATTTCAGTGTTTTTTTTACGTGAAAATTAATTGTATAATTTTCTGAATGGTTTGTTCTTAACCTATCTTTCTTGCGGATTCATCTCTTTATTTATTTTCCCACCGAGGACGGTGTGATTTAAGTCTGGGTGGGTTAATGAATCCGCCATTACTAATGCTACTCTTTATTTTGTTGACTTGAGACCTTTTTCCTATCTGGGTGGGTTTGTTCTTAACCTATCTTTCTTGCGGATTCATCTCTTTATTTATTTTCCCACCGAGGACGGTGTGATTTAAGTCTGGGTGGGTTAATGAATCCGCCATTACTAATGCTACTCTTTATTTTGTTGACTTGAGACCTTTTTCCAATTTTTACATCAATATGTTTTAGCAAAGCAAAAAGTTTTTATTTTAACTAGTCAAAGTTTTATCGAGTCAAAACAGTTGGGAACTAGGAACTTGTTATATGATGATTATTGACCATTTTGTGTTGAGAATTTTTCTTAAGGAACACTTACAGGTTCACAAGAACAGACAAATTTGAACAATACATCCGGACCGTCCCCCTGAAGTTTCAACCCGTGGAGATTCTTGTTGGATCGAAAGTCAACTCTACCTTATATTGGACGATTAACTTGATCTGAATTCTTTCTCATGAAGAGGTTTCAGATCAGGGAAACGAGCATATACATTCAGGACTTCTTATCCCTTTTTACTACTCTCTGCTGATCCTGAATGGCCACTCACTTTTAGTGGTTTCCTACCCTTAAACCCTATCCTCTTTTCAGACCTAACATATTCTCTTTTTCTTTTCTCATTTTAGCAGCTATGTGCATAAACGTCGGAGAGACAGAAACGACACAGTTTCTGGCCACGAAGACGGAGATTCAGAAATTATAATGAGGATGACGTTTTGGTCTCGAGCTTATTCTTCCTTGGGATTCGATTTCAAAAGGTACATATTTCATGCTTATGAGACTTACATTCTTAAAGAGTGTTGTTTCCTCTTTCAATAAAAATAAATAAATAAATTAAAAAAATATAATAAAAAATAATAAAAAGAAAGGACAGGAAACAGTTACCGAAAGAAGTCTTATAGCATAGCAAGTCCCAAGGAAAGACATAGCTCATGGAGAGAAGATGGAAATATTCACAGAGATCTCCACAGAAAAATCTAAGTCTGGGGGAATCTAAAAGAGAATAAGTAAAGGAGAAACAACACTCCTTGCGGTGTTTCAAGAAGAAGTGGTTGGAAACTGTGGACATCAAACCGATCCGTTCTCTCTTGCGGTTTTGCAACATATCCTACATTCTCAAGATTATACGGTAACCCTAAATGTAACACCCCGGTTTCAGGAATATGGTGGTGCATGCGGAGAGGTTAAAAAGAATTTATTTGGCCACCTATGTCACCAAAGTGCACTTATGTTTTCGATCAACTGTCCTGAGAGAACTCCACAGTTAAGGGTGATTGAGCTGGAGCAATTTCAGGATGGGTGACCTTCCGAGAAGTGATTGTCGGAACTGTGTGAGTGAGGACAAAACACGGGGAAAGATCATGTGGTGATTTGTAGGGTCGGTAAACAAGTCTTTAAAGCCTCCCGGACGTAGCGGACCGGCCGTCGGACAGGGGTGGGCTCATGGGCCCAAGAGAGGACATGGGGCCTACTGGTAGGGACGGTCGGGGCATTACAAGTGGTATCAGAGCCGAGGCCAGACGAGTGTGGAGTCACGAGTGTGTCTTCGTGAAGTCTTAGTAGCTCGTCCCTGCCCTCGTCGTGAGCTGCAGGCGTCGTCCTTGAAGCTTAGAAGTCCACCAATTAAATCTCTCTCTTTTCTCTTGTTTACTCTAAGATCTATTTAGGTGAAGTCTTACCTCTTGTATTCTACATTCAAAGAAGTAATCTCTAAACCTTATTCAGTTCTTATTCATCTATTTCTTATGAGTTTATCAAACCTTACTTTGATGATCTCTTTAACCATGCTAGAGTAGTTTTCTAGTTGGGTTTAAAGGGTTAATCAAAGGGGGGAGATGATCGATCGTCTAGGTGGCGATACTTAGGGTTTCGACTGTATTCTTTCTAAGTAAGTTGTTTCTTAATGCATGTAGTTAGATTCATGTTCTAACTCGTGATCCCAAGTGTTTAAGTTGCTCACAAGGTTGCTTAATATGCTCGAACCTAGCTTACGAATGTGTATCGTGTTATAACAAGCACACACCACTTAGTTATAGGGCTTTATGGACTAGAATCGAACTTGATCTTATTGCTTTGATATATGCGTCGTTGCCTGCGTAGGTTGAGTAACGGAGTATAAGAATTTTAGCCGACTAATTCTATAACATAGGGTTAGCCGAATCTTAGTGTTTCGTATGTCCGAGACTTGGAAGTAAACAAACCTAATTCTAGTATTTTTTAGATTATGATCATTGAACCCCCTGCGATACCCTTGATGCCCAACGTTTGTCTCTTATTGAATTTACTTGCTATTTACTTGCTTTCTTATTTGCTTTCTTTACTTGTTTCTAATTTACTTTTACTTGCAAACCGTGATACCACAGCCAACAACCCCTCTTTTATTGTTTTGTCCTAGCTTTGCTTTGTTCTAACGGATTCGTCCGAACTACTTCTCTCTATGTGGGATTCGATCCTTAAATATTACAACCGATTCACTGTGCACTTACAGTAGTCGTCGTGTGGTCTTTTGAGGTAAAAGATTGAAGCGATAAAATCACACGCATTAGTGTTCTTCAGGAAGTGTTATCCAGTGTCAGTCAGGCATATATAATCTCATCTTGCGTAAAACGTAAAAGTTCTAGACATCTTATCTCTTTTGTCTTTGTTTCATATTTATCAATTCTTACTTTGAGTACTTCATGTTTCAAAAGTTTTTGATGTCGCAAAAAGCCTCCTTTTGTATTCTTGACGAGTGAGACCATTTTTTCCCCTCTATTTTGAAGTTATCGATCGTTTCATTGTGTTATCTGGATTTGTTTCATCGGATGGTAGTTAATCGTGACTCTCATTTTTTCAGATATACAAGTAAAGATACGAAATCCAAAGCACGACAATGTTTCTTTGAAGGGGGCGAAAAGATCATGCTTTATACCGAGAGAACATACTTCTTTTGGAGATATATAGTCTTTTGAGGTAAAAGATTGAAGCGATAAAATCACACTCAAATTGAAGAACACTAATGCGTGTGATTTTATCGCTTCAATCTTTTACCTCAAAAGACCACAAAAGTTTTCTATTTTATTTTCTTTGTTTAGATTCTATGATTCAATTACTATTCTGATCATTGTCGGCTTCTCGGGTTTCAGGTCCGTGGCATAAAGAACTTGATTTTCTATTCTCTTCCAGAGCGGAAGGAGTTTTACCCACAAATAATGAACATGCTTGAAGAATCACATGACATGATGTCCACTATATTTTTTTTTTCGTTTTGACCAGCTCCAAGTAATTACACAATTCTCATTATTAATCTTCTGATGCTTGTTACGCAATGAGAGCCATACCTATTCATTTTTTCTGTCGCTCCATTAATTCAAATACTACTAGTTCCTCAACTAGAAGTAGGAAAATATTAGCTTAGAGATCAATCATAGAGGAATATTTGTTGAAGTCTGGTTCTTACTCTTTTTCCTACGTTAAGCTCTAGTTGGTTTTGCTTGCAGTTTGTGACATTGTAATTATTGTTATATATACGTCTTCAATAAGAGTTAGCTCTCTCTCTCTCTCTCTCTCTCTCTCTCTCTCTCTCTCTCTCTCTCTCTCTCTCTCTCTCTCTCTCTCTCTCTCTCTCTCTCAGTAGCACCAATCCGACAAGTGAGTTTCTGATGCAATATGGATCCAATGTTATTAGAGATTATATCTCTCCGGTTTAATGTTGAATGTAGTTCGGTTATATTTGGTTATCTATCTTGTATAGTTGGTTATCTCTCTTAGTATTTAAGTTTCCTTTGTATCACCATTTACGCTTAATGAAGGTTTCACGATTATTGATAAATGTGATGGTTATTTTCAGCTGGCAAGGATCGTTGGGGTTAATTTAGCAAAGAAAATGATCAGTTTTGAGAAAAGCACTTTACTTTCCGAGAAGGAGTGGAGTGATCAAGATGATTTATTGGTGTAACGAAAAATGTTGCTATCTATTTTGCTGATCTTAAAACTTAATCCCCCATTTTTGTTATACCATTACTTATGGTCAGATATACATTAACCGGTTCAAATTAAGAAAAACGATTTAACTGTTGTAACGATTTAAGATATACATAGGTCTGTCAAACATCTTCTTTCGTTTTTCCATAACTCTGTTATTACTCTGTCAATAAGTTCTGCAAAAGATCATCTATAACTCTTACAAGTGATCTAACCAAATTATTCAATGGTAGGAAATGCCAGCAATGTGAAACTTAAATTTTTTTAAACATGTTTCCTCTTCTTCTTTACAGGTCTAGGTTTGATTTTCTTGTTAAGAGATCGATTTAGTGTATAATGGGTTTAACTTACTCAGTGTTACTTAACACATATTTAAGTGTAAATATCAAATGTTGGAAGTTGCTAAGCATATTGACCTCATTTACTTTTGCTAGAAAGTTAATAGTCTACATGTTTTCACTATAAACCCTCATCATCATAACTGTTGCTGACCAATTATATATTTTTGTTTTTAACAAATTTTAAATATGTGAAAATTGTGAATTCTGTCAACTAAAAATATTTCAGTCAAAAAAGTAAAATTATTAAATATTAAAGTAAGTCGAAAAATAAATATGAGCATAATATTAATGTAATTTTTTTGCCTAAATGGCAAATTGTCCCTACATGAATTAGGCTCATTATTTTTCTCGAAACAAACATTAAATTTCTTTTTAGTTGAAAACCTGCTAGTATACCTTCTCATAGAGTGAAACGGTTTTAGGTTAAGGCATGTGAGTTTGAACACACAAGACGTTGACTTGTGAGTAGAAGGAACATGTGAACTTATATGGACCATGTGACCTTGAACTACAATCATTAGAATGTTAAACTACTATCTTCTCTTATTTGGCATCTAAACTTTGTTTTTATTACTCTCTAAACAAAAACGAATAAACATAAGATTTCTGCACAAAAATGTATGCATTTTGTTTTACGTACAATCATCTAATTCGAAACATATGGGCTGATTTTTTTACCATTTAAAGACAACAAACTAACCAACCAACCACACGTGAATATCGCCAAAAGAGATATAAACTTAGAGAGGATAATGAACCATTAGGTTTCCCCAAGTACTAAAACTACGAGGGACCTCTACGGTGCCAAGAAAGGTTTCGGAGTTATGAGTGGTCACCTCTCCTAGTCTCCTACCTCTTTGAAAGACATGTATATCGCTTTAACTGGAGTCCTAGAAGGCCGGTTCTCGTGTCTTTACTTAATAATTGCTTCTTGTGTCTACGCAACCTATGCGAGTAGACAAATTTATATTTTCCGTCGTGATCATCATAGCTAGTAAATACTTCAAATTTAACGAAAGACATACAAAGATTAAAGACACAATGCTAAGAAAGAAAACAATGGGGATTTTATTATTAACGATTTTTGCAGATGATCATACAAAATTAGAAATGCGTTAAATATATAACTTCTTGAGCCGGAAAACAAAAAACTAGTAGAAACTTGAATATCTATAATCGTTGTGGTTTTGATATCTAACCATTTTTATGTATACATATATACACACTGTACGATACACAGTCAAACAAAAGGGTATAAAAATACAATAATAATAGAAAATGTGAGAATTATTTTTCCAAAAAACAAATGTGAGAAATGAATATTCTTTGGTTTTCAACTACTTTAACATCTAAATTTGACATGGGAAATGAAATGAAAATATGAGTCGAAATAAAAGAGAAAAGAATAAGTAGTTCAGAATTTGTTTTGAGAACAAAATTTGTAAAAAGAGTAAAAGACTAGAAAATATATAGTCAATTGATCATCTACACATGATGTTGTTAGAAGAAAAGAAAAAAGAAAAAAGAAAAAAACCAAAAAATCCAAAAAGGAATTCTCTTCACATTATGTGTAGGGCCATAAATAAGACTTATCTATCTCTCGGGAGGAAAACAAACTGCTCGTGTTGGTGCTTTTGTAATTCGTCTTTTCTTTTGTATTATCTTTAAGAAATGTCATTTTCCTTATGCACCTTCACAAAATTCCGGTGTACTAAAAGTTAATATACCAATTGCAAATAATTCAGCTCCCAGTTTACCCTTGTTTTATTTAGTTTGATTTGGGTACATTCTGATCTTTTTCATCGGACATATGTAGATTTTTACTTTGGTCGTTTCATTATAGATTAGTAATCGTCCTCCTCGAATAGATGGTTTGTTATTGAAACTTTTCGTAACACACTTCAATTAATTACTCCTATTTCATAATAAGTGTCGTTTAAGGTTTTTACACAGATATTAAGAAAACAATTAAATTTTCTGTTTTACCTATTATCTATATATTTTACTATTTTTTTCATTGGTCAATACATTAAATTAGTAGGGACAAACTGGAAATTTTATCAAACATCTGCATTGAAAACACAAAACGACACTAATTTAAAAACAAAATTCAAAGTCTAAAACGATACTTAATATGAAACGGAGGGAGTATCAATTAAATTTTTTATTTAAATTTTAAAATTTACTCACCCTCTGTTGGGTTTTTATTTTTCTAAATTTTAAAATTTTATTTTAATTTAATTTTCCAAAAATGATTTGATAAGCACATGTACATATTTTTTGAATGTTTTTTTTTTTTTACCATATTCCATTGTTCTCTTTTTTTTAGTTACTTCCATTCCCTTTTTTTTCTGACCTCTTCTAAACATTTATTTCACTCTATACATAGCTGCCATATACTTCAATTCGTTTCCAAACCTACACTCTCCTCTCTCCCTCTCCTCCCCTCTCACAAAAATGAACAACACCATTGTAAGAATGGAAAACAAAAGCCATAGCCACCATCATCCATCATCTCGGAGTAGCCACGAGCGGAACTCGGATGGCCTAATTTCGATAAATGCCATGATCATCATCGGAATCTCCATCATCTCCATCTTCATAATATTTGCAATTCTCTTAATAATCCTTTTACTCCATCGACTTAAATCCGCAAGAGAAAAAGCACAAGAATTATCTTGCAAAGAAAGCTTCAACAACATGAACAATGGTGGAACTTCCACCAACTACAGCTACACTTCTAGCCCTGGTAAGACATTTAACCAAGAATCACGAGGTTCCAATTTAAAACCAATCAGCAATGAGTGGAGATTCTCATATCTTTATACTAGTATCGAATCACTTGCACATCCAATACCCAATTTCTTATTAGTACTCTAATTTTCTTGTTAGATGACATCAAGAGAGATTGTCTATACTCAAGAAACCCAACATCATTCAGACAATTGCCTCAACAAACAAAAAGTTGTAGAAGAAGCCGAGCAGAAGGAGTAGAAGTGTACACATACAAGGAATTAGAGATTGCAACTAATAATTTCAGCGAGGGCAAGAAAATCGGAAGCGGTGGATATGGAGATGTGTACAAAAGGAGTACTAAGGGATGGAACGTTTGCGGGCCATTAAAAAGCTTCATATGCTTAATGATAATGCTAGTAACCAAAAGCATGAAGAACGGTCCTTTAGGCTTGAAGGTTAGTCGTGCCCACTTCATTTATTGTCCATTTTTTTCCTTATCTACTCTTGTTGTGCTGTATTTATTGTTTTCCATGTTATCAACACATGAATTTAATATACTAGTCTTTTAAAGAATATCTATATTGAAATTTTGAATAAAATACGTTTGCATTGAAAATTTTGAAACTTTGAATGTACTATAGTTACTCCATGTAGGTGACTCACGAGACATCGGTTCACGCATACCTCTCCTCTACAGTTATAAATATTTTCACTTATGATATTTTAGTAAAAAGTTTCAACACAAAACCTCCTTCAGATGATTTTTTTCAAGTTTATGTTCAATTTGCAAAAAAAAAAAAATGTAGGTTTAGCCTACAATATAATTAGCCACCACCATGGTTTCTAGTTTATTAATTATGGCAATTGAAGTCACTGTGACGTAAAGTACATAGGTACTCTTAAAATTTAGAAACTCTAATGTATGTGGACGTAAATTTGTTTTGAAGATACATATAAATATTATATTACGGATTAATTCTAGCTACTTCTTGATTTTAACTATTTATAGTTTTTATAAGTTGATAGTAAAATTCATTGTGAAGGATTTTTTTTGTAAAAAATAAACATTATATACGATGGAGTAGTTTGTGTTTTGAAGAATATATATCTTAAAATGTTAGCCTCAAAATACCTTTATCTTTCTTGGAATTCTACAATGCAATATCTTGACCAATAAAAAAAAATTGAAGATTCCTCTAATTGACATGCCCCTTTCAGATGTGCTGGATTTTTTTGTTTTTTTTTGGCATCCATGTGCTGGGATGTATAAAAATCTATCATTGGATATATATTTGGTCCGTGCTTCGATATATCTAGTAGAGACAAAGAAAGTACCAAAGACATTCAGTATATTTTGTCCAATAGTCAATACGTAATCAAGTGGATTTGTTTTCTTAATTAGTAGTAATTAAAAGTCAAACCCATTAATATTATGTGTTTTTCAACAACATCATTGATCATTATCATCATTTTGTTGCAATACCATTAAGTATACTTACATAGCGAATATAATCTTTTAATGTGCAGGTTGATCTTCTTAGTCGATTACAATGCCCATATTTGGGTGGAATTACTTGGATATTGTGCAGATCAAACCCCATAGGATTCTGATATTTGAATATATGCCTAATGGTACACTGGAACATCATCTTCACGATCATAGTTGTAAGAATCTAAAGGATCAATCTCAACCATTAGATTGGGGAACCCGCTTAGGAATCGCCCTTGATTGCGCCCGAGCTCTAGAGTTTCTACACGAAAATACAGTCTCTACTGTGATCCACCGGAACTTCAAGTGTACCAAACATTTTGTTGGATCAAAAATAATCGAGCTAAAAGTTTCAGATTTCGGATTGGCAAAAACTGGATCCGATGAACTAAAATCGGGGGAGATTTCAACAAGGGTGCTCGGTACCACAGGATATCTTGCTCCAGAGTAAGTAACAATTCACATTGTTGTCACATTTGATCCATTAGGTGTATGGGGTTAGAAATAAAATTGGTAACCAAAATAACATCATGCTATATGTCACCAACAAATATGGAATATGGTAGTGGTTGTTGTCTATCTATAGTGTGTCACTTGTGAATTAAAAGATCGATTATGGTCACTCAATTTCTCTTAAGAGCCATAACATAACCATATAAGATTTTATTGTGTTGAGATAGGTAATGCCTCTAACCGGAAAGCTTACCACAAAATCCGATGTTTATAGTTATGGTATTGTGTTACTACAACTCTTAACGGGTCGTAAACCGATCGATTCAAGGCGTCCGCCGGGGACAAGATGTCCTTGTCTCTTGGGTAAGTATACCGTAATTTATTTTCAGTAGGATCGGATATTATAAATTTGAACTACTCAATATTGTCTCATAGACATCCACATGAGAACATGTGTAGACTGTCTACACTTGTTTAGAACTATCTATATAGCTTTAGTTAACTGTAAAAATGTGATATATATATTTTCAGGCTCTTCCAAGGCTAACCAAGAGAGAAAATTAGCGAAATGGTGGATCCAACCATGAAAGGTCAATACTCACAAAAAGATCTTATTCAGGTTTGGTTTCTTCACTTTCTCTCTTGATTTCCCTTAGTACATTTCTGTACGAAAAAATTGTAGCTGGTTGGTTTTTGACAAAATGGTATTCAAATTCCAATCTAGTAGCTAGGCCTTTTTTAATGACATGGTGATTGAAACTCAGATTTATATTAAGACATGCAAATAACTTATTCTCTTGCTAGTTAAAGTGTTTAATGTGGTTACCTTGAAAGCATAGTGGATGTGACTTCTCACCCGCTAGACTAAAAGTTGATTGATCCAACACAATATTTATAAAACCATTGAACTACTAATGTTTGGGTACAGCGAAAACGCTATCGAAAAGAAATTTGTATATCTATTTCTTTGTGGCAAGAGTTGTGATACAATTTTATGAAACAGGTAGCAGCCATAGCAGCAGTGTGTGTGCAACCAGAAGCAAGTTACAGACCGTTGATGACGGATGTTGTTCACTCGCTCATTCCCCTTGTTAAAGCTTTCAACAAAAGTACTGATTCTTCTCGGTTTCCTAGCCGTAGAGAAAGCTTGTCATTTGATGATATTATGGCTGACACTCTTTTGTTTAATGTGTGTAATTTCTCCCTTATAAGTTGCGCTCTCGTTGTTATTGTATATTTGTATAGACAAATGAATCCATTTATCTTGTTAAATTTATATTAGTGTTGTTTAGTTGCCGAGAAGTCACTCATTCTAAGTCCATTCTAAGTCCAGCAAGTTTTTTCTTTGATAATCTTTCGCAATACATGATCACCTACACTTAGAAATATGGTAGATTATATATAGCTTTCCTTTCCTTTTGAGATATTGCAAGATCGATTCGTACCTAAAGATTCACAAGACTTCTTTATCCCCTTTTAATGATTCTTCAGCCTTTAATGCTTCTTTTGGGACCTCTTCTGCATCCTTCAATGCATCGAGAAGTCCTGTAATTTTTAGATGCGCGGTGATTTTTTTTCCCCAGTGTAATCGCCTTGATAAGCAAACTTCCTCGTGTTGATTTTTTTTCTTACAAAGACATGACTCAACAATCTAGGAATTTACTCCAATAAACCAAGAGCTCAATTTATAAGGATTAAAAACTTGATTAACCTCACCCTACGAATCGCAGACATGAAGATCTCGTGAACTGAATCGAGGATTGTGTATCAAAAAGCAAGAAAGACAACACATAGATCTATATGAGTTCATTTCTCTGGAATATCTTCCAAAATCCATTGGATTGTTCTTCACTTAGTCTCGAGCTTCTTTATCTACAAACTTTTTTCTCTCTCTTTATCGATTACAAGTCTCGCATCCATCTCTCTCTAGTATTGCAACGATCATAAAGAAGAAGAACAAGAAACATAGTTGTTATAATTACTTAGCAAGAGCTAGAGCTGATATCCTCTACTTGGCCTCAATCTTTCCCTTTCTTTGTTAAAATCGAGACCCTCTAAATGACTAAATATTTTTCCCATACACTTGTACTTTTCTCTTATCAAGACTTAATGCCTTTGCCTAACACTATAGTCTGTCTATAATACATTCTTTTGACTTAAGAACCTTTACTTCTAAGATAACAATCTAAAGCGAAATATATTTAAAATACAGCAAGATTCGTACCTACAGAATACAGATTCACAAGAAAAGAGACAAGTCAAAACTCAAAAGTAGTAAAGTTTCATTCGTTGTGCCTTTGCCTAACACTATATATATATATGGAATCAATCTAAAGATAAGTACGTGGTTATATGAAACTTTTATGTTCAAACTACCATTAGTAACTTGCTACTATTAAACATTTATCCATTGTATAGCTAAAAATACATATTCACTTACTAACCAAAAATAAATACATTCCAAGAAGTTAACTTATAATTAAACTTAGTATGTTAACCAAACACATAATTGTTTTTCTTTGTTACTAAGAATGTAAATATTCATTTATTATTGAAAACGTTTAGATTATAGCAGATTGTATAACCTATGGAATTTGTTCAAATGGCAAAAATATCAAAAATATGAAAACAAAAGATAAAATCTGAAATTTAGTCCATCGTTAGAAAGCAATAAAAGCTCACTGTATCAAATGAACTGATAAACGATATTGAAATTTTTTCGCATATGACACTCTAGAAAGAATAACGAAAAGACCACGATAATTCCACAGATTGGAAGCTATTCAATGGCATCACTTGAATATTGTGTCGCCTTAGAAAAAATCTCAATGCCCTTGATCATAGACCTCCCGTCATTATCCAAACACATATAATTTTAATAGTGTCCTCGCCGTATGATATAATCTTAATTTAAATCTAATAATGTGTAGACTAAAACAAAAATTGCATCTCATAGCAAAAAACAAGATATATTTAAGAAATGATAAGCTGGTTACTGAGCTTGAGTAAGAAAATAAAAAGATAAGATGGTTTTTTGAGTTAGGTAGACAAAATTGAGTTTCAATCAATTAATTTGGACGGTTATATATATGTTTTCTCATGTAATTTGTTTAAAACACAAATTATATATACATATATTTGTTTTAATACATGTAAAAAATTAGATCCATGACAGACGATACTTCTTTCTTCGTGTTTTTGAAGATTACCTTAAATGATCTACGGCCTAATAACACTTTTCTCTTTGCGTAGAATCTTGGCGAACAACTATAATTGTACATCGATAGAGATCTCATGCAGACTTGTCTCTATTAATCTATAAATTTTTTAATAAATCGCAGTATTTAGGATTCGAACCTCAAAATTTTTGGTGTAAAAACATTAATTAATCATTTGTTAACCAATGGGCCAAATTGACTTCTACCGTACCTACCCTCACCAAATTGACTTTATCGAATTAAGGTTTTATACAAAATTTTCATATTGTAGAAGGCATGATTATTCTGTGTGAAGATATCGGACTACTAGGCCGATTCGTTATGGGCCTCGGCCTTTTGGCCCAGTGATAAATAATAAAAATATAAAGTGACGTAAACTAAAATGATTTTTTTCAGAATAGATTCGAAAATAGAAAGTAATCATTACCTTTTAAAAACCTTCTTCTTCTACAAACGCCACCTGTCTTCTAAATTCCTTATTATTAAATTTCTTAAAGAAGGTTAAAGAAAAACCCTATATAATAATATCCCATCGAAGGCGATAAAACCCAGATTTTCCAGATCTTAAATTCTCTCCTCCCCCAATTCCATTAAAAATCTCACTCTTCTTCTCAATCTCTCCCGATTCTCCCGTCAATCTCAAAGGTAACCTATCTCTCTCCAAATTTCCCAACAATTTTCTGGTTTTTTTTTTCCCAAAATCAAAGCTTTTTTCTTCAATTCAATTTGTAATCGAGGGCTTGAAACACTTTGATTTATAATCGTTTCTCTTGTTTTGATGTAATTAGCTGTTTTTTATTTTGTGAAATTCACTTTTTTGCATTGTTTTGATTGTGTCTGATTATTGTTGATGTTTTTAGGTTCTGTTTATTGGTTTTGTGTTTTTTTTTCATATGAAACTTATAATTCATTAGTGTGTGTTGTTTTGATGTTAGAATTAAAACTTTGAAATATTTGTTAGTGAAATGGATCAACAAGGACAATCATCAGCTATGAACTACGGTTCAAACCCATACCAAACCAACGCCATGACCACTGCACCAACCGGTTCGGACCATCCAGCTTACCACCAGATCCACCAGCAACAACAGCAACAGCTAACTCAACAGCTTCAATCATTCTGGGAGACTCAATTCAAAGAGATTGAGAAAACCACTGATTTCAAGAACCATAGCCTTCCATTGGCAAGAATCAAGAAGATCATGAAAGCTGATGAAGATGTGCGTATGATCTCGGCCGAGGCGCCTGTTGTGTTCGCGAGGGCTTGTGAGATGTTTATTCTGGAGCTTACGTTAAGGTCTTGGAACCACACTGAGGAGAATAAGAGGAGGACGTTGCAGAAGAATGATATTGCGGCTGCTGTGACTAGAACTGATATCTTTGATTTCCTTGTGGATATTGTTCCACGGGAGGATCTTCGTGATGAAGTCTTGGGTGGTGTTAGTGCTGAAGCTGCTACAGCTGCGGGTTATCCGTATGGATACTTACCTCCTGGAACAGCTCCGATTGGGAATCCTGGAATGGTTATGGGTAACCCGGGTGCATATCCGCCTAACCCGTATATGGGTCAACCAATGTGGCAACAACAAGGACCTGAGCAGCAGCAGGATCCTGAGAATTAGCTTTGCCTAATAAATTGTGAGTTCTTGTTTTAACTTTGTTGCTATATCCTTTTAAGTTTCATGGACACAAAAGTTGATTTCATACTTCTTGTTTGTTTTTACGCAGAGTCTTTCTAATTCGAACATCTTCCCGGTGGATCTACTCAAGAAGAAGAATGTTAATAGAAAACTATCAGTCATAAAAGTTTGGTGTAGTAGAATAAGTTATGTTTTATGATCCATGGATATATCTATTGTTATTCAGTTTGGTTTATCTTGTTAATCTGTTTTCAGTCAATTTACCGATTTCATAAATGGATGTTATAACCAGAAACTACAAACTGAGAATTGAACTTACAAAAAGCTGGATCACTTAATGTTCAAACCTACATAGATAAACATATGGTTGTCAAGATGGTTTAGCTCGAGTTTTACTAGTACTTACGCTACCCATAACCAAAAACCGACGATTCCTATTACTACTACGATTACACAGTTTGTTTCTGCAACTTTTTCATTATGATTCCTTCAAAAATCCCATCCGCTCCAAAGTTGCCAGAAAACTCCTGCGGATGGACAGGGCCCGGGAGGCAAAACGAGACAGAAAAGTGACCGGGCGGGCAGAGATTCCGTGTTTGCATTTCAAACACCTGAGAATACCGTTGAACTTGCTTCCCGCCTGTTGTAGTGACTCCTCTAACTAGTACCTTCCCATTGTCTTCTACTTCACAGCTAAAATCTCCTGCAATATCTCACACACATCAGATCAAGAAACTGGTTTAGTGGAATGAGATATTTTAAAGATGAAACAAAAAGTCACTCACTTTCATCTCTGTTCACACCGGGAAGCGATACACGGAAGAGATAAGCGTCATCACATTCACCAATGTCCATCAGTCCCACCATTAGTCCACCCTGAGCTTCAGATGTCGCCTCAGGTTTTGCACCAACATCACTTTCTTCACCGCTAATACAAGTACCCGCATTCTCATTACCAGCACATGTAATAGGCACTTCTAAACACGGTTCCACGCCCTCATCAATCTCATCCTTAACCTCACTAACTGCAACACCGTTAGCTTCAGTTACATCAACACTAAGGCTCAAAGCAAAGCTATCCAATCCCGTAAGCCGCTTAAACCGAGTAACACATTCTTCTCTCATACAAGAAGTATCTGGATCATTAATGAACATAATGCTCCTGATAAACTTAAACTTATGCCTAACATGGGTTTCAGGGTGCAGTTTTCGCGGAAAAAGATCAGCGAAAAAAGGGTAATCCCTATTCGAAACATTGCGTTTCCCATTGAAGTATTCACGTAACTTTTTCGACTTCATGATTAGAGACGGATCAACATTTCTGAGAATGTGATAATACACACGTTCTAGCTCAGCTCTCTTCATAAGTGAGCCACTTAACTCATCTACCACGAGATTTTTCGACGCTTGAATCTGAAATGCTGATTGCTTGGGACGATGATGGTTTCTTAAATCTGGTCCAAAGTAAGTTCCTATGATGAAATGTAAGAGAAACAACTTGTCTTCTTCAATGTCTAATGAAATTAACACATTCTCTTCTTGTTCTTGAGAGTTCTCAGGCATTGTATCACTCATATCCTAAAAACACAAAACAAAATCAAAAGGTTGATTCTTTATGAGTGTTTATTCAAAAAGATTGAAACTTTGATAGAAAAATTGAAAATCTTGGACATGCAACAAGAAATTATAACCAAATTGGATCAAAATTGGACACATTTGCTATCGAAATGGGTGAAGAATCATTGGAAAAACATTACTTTTTTAGGAGATTATTGAAATTGAGACTATATAAACAGAATTTGTAAATAAATAAGTTAAAATTGAGATAAAATGTTACTAACCAGAAGTGTAATTTAGGGTTCTACTTAGTGAATTTCGTTGTCTCTTATCAGAGAAACAGAAAGCGACTTAAGAAAACGCTAAAGACATTGCAAGAAAAGGGTAAATTGGGAATTTTATTAGTCATCGATGATTAGAACACGTGGCACTTATACCAAAATGTACACAACACCTTATCACTCCCCTTTTTTGGTTCTTCTTAAAGAAATCAAGAGAGAGAAAAAAAAAAAAAAAACTCAACAAAGCTTCTCGGAGATTTTTGCCGGCGACATCTGAAACATCGTCTCCGATGAGGTAAAATAATTGAATTTTCTTTTAAAATTCTTCAATTTTGTTTCTGCTCTTTCTCTTATATAACCCAAATTTGTGTATTTTGGGTTAATTCTGTGAAAGATTTCAAATTTCTTTATGGGTTTTGTCAATTTTCACTGATTGAAATTAGGTTATTTTTTGGCTAAAAGGCTTAAACTTTGATGAAATACATGTGTGCCAAACTTATTTTCAGATTCAAAACTTAAACTTTAGTCTAAGAAAGTATGATTTTCTGGGTATAATCTTCATTTCTTGGATAAACCCTTGTTTACAAAATTGGGTCACAGTCATGTGTGTATCTAACATTGTGTTGTAGACCTTTTCGATAACTTAAAATAGGACAAATTTGATGAATGTTGCCTCTTCGTTGGTCTAATTTGTGGTCATGAAAGAATAAAAAGGTTTCATTTTTATGAATATTCGTAAGCATTAAGGGATAGTGGTTATAGATCCCAAGACTTAACTTGCTTATTGGATCTTAACCATTGCTCTCTTACTGATTCTAGAATCTAGCTACCTCTTAGTTTGGTTCTATAGCCTTATAATGTTTAAAAGAATTGTTGTAGTTTGGTGAGTGCTTCTGTTATATAGCGGAATCTGAGTCAAGTGTATGATAAAATGGAATTGTTGTGCTTCAGGTCTTCAAGTGCTCAAAATGGGATGCGAGAGAACATGAGTTTTTCGGATAACACAAGGAACCCACAAATTCTTGAAGTGACTCCGTTGAACAGTTTGCCTTACATCGGTCCAGTAACTCATGCATCTATGTCGAGTGGCAGGATGAATGAGAATGTAGAGAAAGTCGGAGGGCCAGCGATGATATTTCTGCCTTCTGAATCAAGTTCAGAGTTTTCTAACCTTATCAGTCAAACGAAAACCGGAGTTGCTCTAACGGGAAGTGCAGCCATGGGGAAGATTGGACCAACGATTGGTTTGGTTGATATTGCTGAATGTGAAGACTCATACTACTTTCGTGTTTCATTGCCTGGCGTGTCAAGGGATGAGAGTAAGTCTTAACTCCTTTCCAAATCTTTGTGAAGTTTAGTTGACATGCTAAATTATTGTTTCTAGAATGCTAGTTCAAACGTTGTTAAAGATATTAGTTCATTCAGAGCAAAGATTATTTTCACGGAGCTAAAGAATACATAGATTTGAGAAGTTTCAGTCTTGTGTTATAAGTATGGTTACTCAATTATTTTCTTTGCAGTCGGCTTATATGCGTTTATGAGTTGCTTTGAACTTTGTGCTTTTACTCGTTTTCTACTGAAGCTGACATGTTAAACATGCAGAGGACTTCAGCTGCGAAATAGAACCAGACGGAAGGATTCTAATAAAGGGAGCAACAACGACGGGGGAACAGACAGTTTGCAAACACAATCAGATCTTCAAAATGCTAACACAGAACTTATGCCCACCAGGCCACTTCACCATCAACTTTCAGCTTCCGGGTCCTGTGAGCAATGAAGAATTCAACGGTAACTTTGGGTCAGATGGTGTACTTGAGGGCGTAGTGAAGAAGCTGTACTACGAAGACTGAACAGAACAACAAATGGAGATGGATTTGTTGAGTTTTAAAGTAAGCTAGAATCATTGCAGCTTATGTAGGATTTTCTTTTGGTTGTAAGCTACATTGCCATCAGAAAGATTGGTTATTAAGTTTATGTTGCTTTGTAACAACTTAACTATTTGATACTTAATATGCCTGATGAAAAAAGAATTGGAGATAATATGGGAAAAATTTGCACTGTTTTTATTTCTATTGTACAAAACTTAAAGGTTCGAATTGTTGTACCGGATTAGTTGCCTTGTGGACAAAATGGCTAGTGCATTGTTGATCAAACAATAGATACAATAAGAGTTATGAAAATCAAGATGAAGGAAGCCCAAATTATACTGAAAAGTTACCCTGAAAATTCAGCATGAAGATGTTAAAAGTGCTTCTTTATATGGAAATCTTCATGCTTTGAGGATCCTAGTATCATTCATATATTTATAGCTTAAGTTTGGACAAAAACATTTATGGCCTTAAGCATGTACCAAAAATATGGTTAGACAAGTTTAGTAATTTTCTATTAGAGTTTAGATTCAGTTGCAGCAAAGTAGATCCATTATTTTTTGCTTATCTTCAAGCTTGAAACATGATGGTTCTTATCCTTAATTATGTATATGATATCATTCTGACTAGAAGCAACATGTCTGTTTTAGCCCTTTTAAACATTTCATCAACGTGCTAAGCTTAATTAATGTTCTCTATGAAAACCATTGGGTGTCTTCACTATTAATAGGGTATTCAAGAATAATTTTATCATATATGTTAATTTGTTCCTCAGCCAAACAAGGTATACATAAAATAATTTCCATCAAACTGGTATGTCTTCCTTCATTTTTATGCCTAATTCTGATGTGTGTAAAAGTTTTACCTCAAATAGACACAACAGAAAGGTTATAAGTGCACAACCAATCAGTTGCATTGCCTAAAGATTGATCACACAAGTAATGAAAGTTGCACAACAAATTAATCTATTAGAAAAGACTGAAAGTAGGACAAAAGTATAAATTAGATGTATATATATGGTGATGCAAGTGAATGAAAATCTATATGTAGAAGAAAATAAACAAATGCAAGAAATAAATAAACCAGGCGTTGGACATTAGAGAATTCGTATAGAAGTTCATAGATGGGTTCATTCACTCAAATCACAGTTTTCTACATGTAATCACATTGCAAAACAACCAACAAGGAAAGTTTCAATATGTTCACAAGGACACCATAACTCAACTTCCGTATGTTATGAGATCAACCTCAACTAATACTAGTTAAATTTTCATGATTCAACACGTTCGTTGTTAAATTTTCTTTGAATTATTAGCTAGGCAATACAAACAAGTATAAGTGAAGGACTTGTAATAGAAATTTATCCAAAACCTAGCCATCAGACTAATCTATCATGAAAATCCCCTTTGATAAAATCCTTTAACCCAACATGAGAACTAACCAAACATAAATAATGAAAACACTGCAAAAGCAATAAGAAACAAAATCATAAACATAAATAAAGTACTAGGGTTCAAAAAACTCATCTATGAGATACGTACAAAGTGGATGATTCGTCTCTCTTGAGGTAATAGAACAAAGAAACTATGAAGGAAAGTGTATAGATTTATGGAAGTGATGATTATGGTGAGAGCATTGCGACACCAATCCTGACTTGGTGCTCCCAAGGCGGCTAAAGTTGTTTTTATATGTGTGGGAGTCGGCTAGGATAAGTCCCATGAGAACAAGGACAAATTTGGGATCTTTCTAGAATATTTCCTTTTTTCGAGGGAGAGATATCGATCTCCAACTTAGTAATTGCCATGGGCATGCTCTGTTTTCTCTTCAAACAAACATGTCTTCAGTAAAATCTCCATATCTTTTGTATGGCTAAATAGAATGACATCAAGCTACTTGGAGAAGAAAGCTTTTTTTTTTTCTAGCTTTATAATGATATGTATATCACTAAATTTGGATTTGGGGAGGTACTTTAACGAATGACAGACTTATGATGCTAAAAAACTATCCAAGCTCCAGTAACTTGTTGTACGTTCTTTTTCGCTATTTCTTTTTTAAGTAACATGAAAAAGACTCGTGAAACTAAGAAAAACTGTAAAATACCAATAGAATACCAAAACCAACTAGTTTCTTTATTCGAAAACCTTCTAAAAAATATTAAAAGTCGTTAAGAATATGATATTATCAACTTCTTTAGCTATGTAATTGGATACAACACCAAATGGCTCTAATCACTTTTTTGGTCCTATTTAGGTTTGAAGTCTACCACGAAAATTTCAATATATTAACCTTATAAAGGTCTTATAATCATTTTGTAGTCAATTTTGTGTGCCAAAGGATTCACTTTCATACTACGTTATATTTTCTTCTCTCAAGCGCATATTTTCGTTATCTCATGGGCATTACCACACTTAGTTCATCCTAAAAAAATAAGCCATATTCCTAGTAAGGTTCGGGTGATTTGGAAACCAATAAATTTTAATTTGGTCACTTTGATAAAGGCCTTGAATAGTTGGGCAGTATGCTCCGGACCGGATTAAAGTGGAATAAGTCCGCTTTTTTTTCTACCACTCATATAATTGTATGATATATTCCAGACCAATTTTATGCCAACTCCAGACCAACATGTTAGTATGCAGTGAACAATAACTGCATATCAAAATATAACTATCCATTTGCATACCAAAGTCTGCTTTAAGAGTGAAACGTACTGCAGTATGGAGTTTAGCATACTAAAACATTAGTACGCATTGTCTAGTATGCAGCGTACTGAACAACCATTCAAAGCCAAAGCATAAACTGGATAACAAAAAATAACAACATTATTACAAGAGATCACCAATCTTTAATATAACAAAAAAAAAAAAAAAAAAAAAAAAGAAAAACAAAGACCAAGATCAACGATGTACTATGAATTAAGAGAAAACATTCGAATTCGACCAAGATTAAAGGAGATATCTCAAATTATTTAGTTCTCTTTCGGAGAATGAGAGCGCAAAATGAAGTTATGTGTGCTTAAAACTAGTTGAAATACAGTGGATCTAATTCAAGCATTTTACGTCAATAAATTTTTTCTTCTCTAATATAATATTTTAAGGGTTCAAGAATAAAAATTATTAAGAAAAGTGTTGTAAACTGATAAGAGAAAATACTCAATGAGTAGTTTGGAAATTTCGTAGCCATACTTGAGCATTTTTGTTATATGTTTGAGGTTAACACTTACACCCAAATAAAATAAGAAAATACAATTCCATGTTCCCAAAACATTTGAGAGATTTGAGACAAACATGATCAGATAAGGTTGCTTACCCATTTAGATATGCTTACATTTTAAAGTTTTCGCGGAAAATTTTGGGTTGGTTCACCACCAACCACAATTTTAGAGGAAGTGAAAGTTAACAAGTAACGAAACAACATTTAGTTCACAAAATAAATTAACAAAGCAATGGAAGTAAGAATGTCGCAACGATTTAATTAAAAGTCTATAAATGCATAAACGAAGTCCATTCACAGAAGCCCAAATACATCCTCTCCTTGTTCTCTTAGCTTCACACTAAAAGACTGTGTCGTATAAATGATCAAGAAAGAAACTTCAAAACAAAAAACTAAACAACTGCTTTGATATATACACTTAAATCCCAATATAATAATGATTAGATAAAAAAAATATTCAAGTCGTAGTTGTCTTAAAAATGATAGAGAGAATTCAAAACCTGTTGTAAATAGATAATTATGAATGTGATTGTCCACACTTATCCATGTCATATAGACAATGCCTAATCTAATTTTATTTGGGCTCAAAGTTACTTGGGCTCAAAGTCATCTTTCCTATATATATAGATACACGTTGTATGATTAAATACTCTCTTTTCCCTACCCGTTTTCTTTTTCTTATTACATATACATATATTTAGTTGTATATTCATAGCAATATACATACATTTATGAGTGTTTACATTATATTTTATAACACGTTATCAACACGATGTCTTTACCGCTTGAGCGTTTACGAGTTAAGTTACAATTTCTGTTATTTAAATTTATTTATGTTTATAGAACACAATTTTAGATATCGTGAAACTATGCCTTTTTCCTGTTTGATCGTTATAAATGGTAGGCTCTACCTCATTTAAAACCAACTAAAAAGCTATAACTTTTCCAGATTGATCGATATAAATGGTAGGCTCTGCCTCCTTTACGATCAAATAAAAAGCTTTACGATCAAATAAAAAGCTATGCTTTTTCCAGGTTGATCGTTATATATGGTAGATTTTACCTTCCTTATGATCAAATGAAAATGTACATATATTCTGTATTGATCGTTATATATGGTAGGCTTTGCCTCCTTCTCTACAATCAAATAAAATCTATGCCTATTGAATTCTTATATGGAAGACGATGCCTCCTGAATTCTTGTATGAAAGGACTATAGTCCATAAATTATTATTTTTGTGAATTTATATGTTTAATTATTTTTTATTATTTTATTCGTAAAAATAAACGTGTTATATGAGATTTAAAGACATTAAAATATGTCTTTAAATCAAAAATATATTCTCTTATGCGAATAAATGAAACACGTGTCAATATTTTTTTAGATAGTGCAAAATAATAGGAAGGTCTAGATAAGCTAGTCTCTCGGCTTCCAAAATGCATCAGATTCATAATAATTGATGCTTTGTGTTCTCCAAAGTCTCAAAGAAACTCGTGTAGTTTCAAAGTCGTTTTTCTTTATAATTATTATATTAAGACTATAAATAAATATGGTATCGAATGTTCGACCACAATGGAGATACATATATATATGGGTTGGCTGATTTTTCAGCCCTATACTAGTTACAATCTCAGCTTTCCATCCCAAACTTTTTACCTCTGAAAAAACCACCAAAAGAAACTATAATCTCAATAAAACTACACGTACTTTCGGATTTGTTCTTAAAACTACGCCTCCAATTGAACTGATCAGTTAACCGGTAATATTTAATCTGGTTTGGCTTACCCAAAATTTTGACCGAAATTAATCGATTTTGACTATATTTTAACCTAATTTTGACCCAAAAAAAAATATAAAAGAAAAAAAATGTTTTCTCCTATAAATAAATTTATTTCTTTATTTATTTTTATAAAAAAATAAAATAATAAATTATAACGAAATTTTATCAAAAATATAAAAATA